TTATGGTAAAATTTCATGGAGATCCATTCACTTAAACTAAAGTTAGAGTGCGAAAACCAATGTGTCTTCGGACGACGCCGGACAACGCCAGACGACGACGACGACGACGCCAACGTCATACCAATATACGACCAAAAAATTTGTAATTTTTGCGGTCGTATAAAAATGACCCCACCCATGTTCCGGCCCCCAAATAGTGCCAAGTTGACCCCCATTTGAAATAAAAAATAGTGAATGCACCCCTAGGGATACTACCCCAACATCATACCAAATATAAAGTTTCCATCATTTAAGGCTTGGAAGAAAATGGTCGGACAAATTAGGGTAAAGAAGAATAATAATAATAACTCGACTTGCCATTGAAAGCAATAGCGGATGTCACCCTTCTCCCATTGCCACTAGATTGCAGCCAGTTTTAAAATTTAAAACAGTGAATTCACATATATACCATTGTATACTGATGGCTATACATCTTTCTGTAAATTTTTAGAACATTTAGCGGATTTACAAATTTTACGCATATTTTTTCCTTTTTGCCTTGTTTCCATGGTAACAGCAGCCATTTTGGAAATTCCGACGCCAATTGCCGATTCCACACATGACAGTCAACATTATTGTGAAGTTTCATTAAGTTTGAAGCATTCTGAAATTTTTGAAATTTTTGCTCCTGTATCCATGGTAACAAAATCATTCAAAACCTGTATATAATGGACAACTATATTGTATAAAACTTTGATGATTTTAAGTTAAAGCCTACCAAAATTATTCACCAAACCTTGAAGCTTTTGGAGCATTTTGACCTTTTTTCATTGTTTCCATGGTAACAGCAGCCATTTTGGAAATTCTAACTCCAAATGCCACATCTTCCAATGTTGCTCATCGTTACTGTGAAGTGTCATTTAGTTTGGAGCATTTTGATATTTTTGAAATTTTTGGTGTAGTTTCCATGGCAACATAGTAATTCCAATGATTGCCAAAATCATCCAACACCAGTATATAGTGGGCACCTACATTGTATTGAAATATAATGATTCTAAGTTTAAGTATATCAAAATAGTTCACCAAAACCAAAAACTGGATTTTTTCACATTTGTTACGTTTCCATGGTAACGGCAGCCATTTTTTATGTTCTTAAGACCTACTGCAACCCGAAATTTTGTGTTCCTCATTATAGTGAACTATCATTAAGATTGGTTCCATTGGCTCCAAAAAAACTGCAGGACAAAAATCATTGGAAGAATAATAATAATAACAAAGAAACAGAGGAAAAGCAATATGTCACCCGAAATTGTCGATCGGGTGACATAACTAGATTTGCCATTGCAAGCAATAGCGGATGTCACCCTTCCCCCATTGCCACTAAGTGGCAGCCATTTGGAAAATTTTAAACAGGGATGCTCATATATGCATGGCTATACATGTTTCTGTAAATTTTCAGAACATTTAGAGCATTTTTGATCATTTTAAAATTTTTGACATTTTTGCAGTTTCCATGGCAACAGTGGCCATTTTGGAAATTTCAAAGTCAAAAGTCTCATCTAAACTTGCCAGTTAGGAAACATAATAAGTTTCATTAAGTTTGGAGCATTTTGAAATTTTTGAAATATTTGACATTTTTGTTGGTTTCCATGGTAACAGAGACCATTCCCAAAATTGAATGACAGGTGCTACATTGGTACATGGGAGGGAACATACCATTAAAATTTAAATGGATTTGACATACCATTTTAAGAAAGTAAATGCTACTTAAAGGTTTTTGGAGCATTTTGACCTTTTTTTTATTGTTTCCATGGTAACGGCAGCCATTTTGGAAATTCCAATGCCAAATTCCACATCTTCAAATGTTGCTCATCGTTACTGTGAAGTTTCATTAAATTTGGAGCATTTTGATATTTTTGAAATTTTTGGTGTAGTTTCCATGGCAACATAGTAGTTCCAATGATTGTCAAAATCAGCCAAAACCTGCATTTAGTGGACAACTACATTGTATTAAAATTTAACGATTTTAAGTTTAAGCATTCTCAAATTATTGACCAAACTCAAAATTTTTATTTTTTCACCTTTTTTCAGTTTCCATGGTGATTGCAGCCATTTTTTAGTTCCAAAGTTGCACTGCAACTCGGAAGTCAGGGTTCCTTATTATAGTGAACCATCATATAGTTGCATGGTTCTTCTGGCTCTGAGAAAACTGGCGGACAAAATTAGGTTGAAGAAAAATAATAATAATAATAATAACTAGATTTGCCATTGCACGCAATAGCGGATGTCACCCTGCCCCCCATTGCTACTAAGCGGCAGCCATTTCGAAACATTTAAAACAGTGAATGCAAATAATTATATTGCTATACATCTTTCTCTAAATTTTCAGAACATTTAGAGCATTTTGAAATTTTTGAAATTTTTTCTGTTTCCATGGCAACAGGAGCCATTTTGGAAATTCCAATGTCAAAAGTCTCATCCAGACTTGCCAGTCATCTATCATATTAATTTTCATAAATTTTGGTGCATTTTGAAATTTTTTAAATTTTTGACATTTTAGATGGTTCCTATGGTTACAGAGACCATTCCAAAAATTTATTGGCAGATACCACATTGGTACATGGGAGGGAACATACCATCAAAATTTCAATGGATTTGACCTACCATATTAAGAAAGTAAATGCCACTTTAAGGTTTTTTGAGCATTTTGACCTGTTTTGCATTGTTTCCATGGTAACGGCAGACATTTTCGATATTCCAACGCCAAATTCTTTATCTACCAATGTTGCTCATCGTTACTGTGAAGTTTTAATAAATTTGGAGCATTTCGATATTTTTGAAATTTTTGGTGTAGTATCCATGGCAACATAGCAGTTCCAATGATTGCCAAAATCATCCCAAACCAGTATATAGTGGGCACCTACATTGTATTAAAATCTAAAGATTTTAAGCTTAAGCAATCTCAAATAATTAAGCGAACTCCAAAATTATATTTTTTCACCATTTTTCAGTTTCCATGGTGATGGCAGCTATCTTTTAGTTCCAAAGTTGCACTGCAACTGGAAAGTCTGGGTTCCTTGTTATAGTGAACCATCATTCGGATTGGTAGCTTTTGCTCTGAGAAAGCGGGCGGACAAAATTAGGTGGAAGAAAAATAATAATAATAACTAGATTTGCCATTGCAAGCAATAGCAGATGTCACCCTTCCCCAATTGCCACTAGATTGCAGCCAGTTTTGAAATTTTAAACAGTAAATGCACATATATAATGATGGCTATACATCTTTCTGTAATTTTTTAGAACATTTAGCGGATTTACAAATTAAACGCATAATTTTTCCTTTTTTGCCTTGTTTCCATGGTAACTGCAGCCATTTTGGAAATTCCAACGCCAATTGCCACTTCCACACATGACAGTCAACATTATTGTGAAGTTTCATTAAGTTTGAAGCATTCTGAAATTTTTAAAATTTTTGCTCCTGTATCCATGGTAACATAACAGTTCCAATGATTGTCAAAATCATTCAAAACCTGTATATAATGGACAACTATATTGTATAAAAATTTGATGATTTTAAGTTAAGCATACCAAAATTATTCAACAAACCCTGAAGTTTTTGGAGCATTTTGACCTTTTTGCATTGTTTCCATGGTAACAGCAGCCATTTTGGATATTCTAACTCCAAATGCTACATCTTCCAATGTTGCTCATCATTAGTGTGAAGTTTCATAAAGTTTGGAGCATTTTGATTTTTTTGAAATTTTTCATGTAGTTTCCATGGCAACATAGTAGTTCCAATGGTTGCCAAAATCATCCAACACCAGTATATAGTGGGCACCTACATTGTATTAAAATATAATGATTTTAAGTTTAAGCATATCCAAATAGTTCAACAAAACAAAAAACTGGATTTTTTCACATTTGTTCCGTTTCCATGGTAACGGCAGCCATTTTTTATGTTCTTAAGACCTACTGCAACCCGAAATTTTGTGTTCCTCATTATAGTGAACTATCATAAAGATTGGTTCCATTGGCTCCAAAAAACTGCCCGACAAAAATCATTGGAAGAATAATAATAATAACAAATTTAAAGAAACAGAGGAAAAGCAATATGTCACCCGACATTGTCGATCAGGTGACTTAATAATAATAATAATAATACTAATAATAGGGAAAAAGAAACAGAGGAAAAGCAATATGTCACCCTACATTGTCGATCGGGTGACATAACTAGATTTGCCATTGCAAGCAATAGCGGATGTCACCCTCCCCCCCCATTGCCACTAGATTGCAGCCAGTTTTAAAATTTTAAACAGTGAATGCACTTATATACTGATGGCTATACATCTTTCTGTAATTTTTTAGAACATTTAGCGGATTTACAAATTAAACGCATAATTTTTCCTATTTTGCCTTGTTTCCATGTTAACTGCAGCCATTTTGGAAATTCCAACGCCAATTGCCACTTCCACACATGACAGTCAACATTATTGTGAAGTTTCATTAAGTTTGAAGCATTCTGAAATTTTTGAAATTTTTGCTCCTGTATCCATGGTAACATAATAGTTCCAATGATTGTCAAAATCATTCAAAACCTGTATATAATGGACAACTATATTGTATAAAAATTTGATGATTTTAAGTTAAAGCATACCAAAATTATTCAACAAACCCTGAAGTTTTTGGAGCATTTTGACCTTTTTTCATTGTTTCCATGGTAACAGCAGCCATTTTGGAAATTCTAACTCCAAATGCTACATCTTCCAATGTTGCTCATCATTACTGTGAAGTTTCATAAAGTTTGGAGCATTTTAATTTTTTTGAAATTTTTGATGTAGTTTCCATGGCAACATAATAGTTCCAATGATTGCCAAAATCATCCAACACCAGTATATAGTGGGCACCTACATTGTATTAAAATATAATGATTCTAAGTTTAAGCATATCCAAATAGTTCAACAAAACCAATAAAATGCTCCGCAGGGCGCAGCTTGATACGACCGCAGAGGTCGAACCCTGAACAGTTGGGGGAAGTATGGACACAACATTCAAGCTTGATACAGCTTTGGATTTGGATTGTGATTAAATATTTGACACAGCATAGGTTTCTAACACAGATTGAATGTGGTCTAAGAACTTAAAAATTTTAAATTGGACATTCACCTATTATGGTCCAATATCCAAAATCTAAATACATGGTTAGATTCAGCATATCAAAGAACCCCAAGAATTCAATTTTTGATGAAATCAAACAAAGTTTAATTTTGGACCCTTTTGACCTCAATGTGGACAAAGTTGATAACGGGGCCCAAAAATCAAAAATCTAAATACATGGTTAGATTCAGCATATCAAAGAACCCCATATATTCAATTTTTGTTGAAATCAAACAAAGTTTAATTTTGGACCCCGATTTGGACCAACTTGAAAACTTGGCCCATAATCAAAAATCTAAATACATGTTTAGATTCAGCATATCAAAGAACCCTAAGAATTCAATTTTTGTTAAAATCAAACTAAGTTTAATTTTGGACCCTTTGGACCTTAATGTAGACCAATTTGAAAACGGAACCAAAAATTAAGAATCTAAATACACGGTTAGATTCGGCATATCAAAGAACCCCAATAATTCAATTTTTGATGAAATCAAACAAAGTTTAATTTTGGACCCTTTTGACCTCAATGTGGACAAAGTTGATAACGGGGCCCAAAAATCAAAAATCTAAATACATGGTTAGAATCAGCATATCAAAGAACCCCATATATTCAATTTTTGTTGAAATCAAACAAAGTTTAATTTTGGACCCCGATTTGGACCAACTTGAAAACTGGGCCCATAATCAAAAATCTAAATACATGTTTAGATTCAGCATATCAAAGAACCCTAAGAATTCAATTTTTGTTAAAATCAAACTAAGTTTAATTTTGGACCCTTTGGACCTTAATGTAGACCAATTTGAAAACGGAACCAAATTTAAGAATCTAAATACACAGTTAGATTCGGCATATCAAAGAACCCCAATAATTCAATTTTTGATGAAATCAAACAAAGTTTAATTTTGGACCCTTTGGACCTCAATGTGGACCAATTTAAAAACGGGGCCCAAAATCCAAAAACTAAATACACGGTTAGATTCAGCATATTAAAGAACCCCATGAAATCAAGAATAAAACCCCATTGAAATTGGTCAAGAAATAAGCAATTTATAGGAAGTATCTTCTTTTGCACAATCCTGTGCTATTAAATATTTCTTGCTATTGCGCAATACTGTACAATTGACAATTTCTTGCTATTGCGCAATATTGTGCTATTGGATATTTCTTGCTATTGCGCAATACTGTGCAATTGAAGATTTCTTGCTATTGCGCAATACTGTGCAATTGAAGATTTCTTGCTATTGTGCAATACTGTGCAATTGAAAATTTCTTGCTATTGCACAATACTTATTATATAATAATTTACACATCCTGTTTGGTGTGTATCTCCTACCATATCATTATTATTTGATTTTAAATATAAATCAGAAATAACCAACTTAAAATGGAAAATTTTAAAAGAAACAAAAAAGGAAAAAAAGAAAAAAAAGGAAAAAAAAAATAAATCCCCCCCCAAAATTTTTTGAACCCCCATTATGATTCATCACCCCCAAACTCAATCCCAGCCTTCCCTTTGTGGTATGGTACCTTGCAGTACAATTTCAGAGAGATCCATACACTTGAACACAAGTTATTGTCTGGAAACTAGAAAAAAATGTGTTTTTTGGCCCCTTTTTGGCCCCAAATTCCTAAACGTTTAGGGCAATTACCCCAAAACTCAAACCCAGCTTTCCATTTGTGATATGGAACCTTGTAGTACAATTTCAGAAAGATCCATACACTTACACACAAGTTATTGTCATGAAACTAGAAAAATGCTTGTTTTTTGCCCCTTTTTTGGCCCCTAATTCCTAAAATTTGGAGGCAATTACCCCCAAAATCAATCCCAGCATTCCTTTAGTGATATGGAACCTTGTGGTACAATGTCAGAGAGATCCATACACTAACACACAAGTTATGTCTGGAAGTTACAAAAATGCTTATTTTTGGCCCCTTATTCCTTTACTGTTATTACCATAACCCCCAAAATCAATCCCAACCTTCCTTTTGTGGTATTGAACCTTGTGGTAAAATTTCATAAAGATCCATTCACTTAAACTAAAGTTAGAGTGCGAAAACCAATGTGTCTTCGGACGACGCCGGACGACGCTGGACGACGACGACGACGACGACGACGACGCCGGACGACGACGCCAACGTCATACCAATATACGACCACAAAAATTTTTTTGCGGTCGTATAAAAACTGGATTTTTTCACATTTGTTCCGTTTCCATGGTAACGGCAGCCATTTTTTTATGTTCTTAAGACCTACTGCAACCCGAAATTTTGTGTTCCTCATTATAGTGAACTATCATAAAGATTGGTTCCATTGGCTCCAAAAAAAATGCCGGACAAAAATCATTGGAAGAATAATAATAATAACAAAGAAACAGAGGAAAAGCAATATGTCACCCGACATTGTCGATCGGGTGACATAATAATAGGGAAAAAGAAACAGAGGAAAAGCAATATGTCACCCGACATTGTTGATTGGGTGACATAATAACTAGATTTGCCATTGCAAGCAATAGCGGATGTCACCCTTCCCCCATTGCCACTAAGTGGCAGCCATTTGGAAAATTTTAAACAGGGATGCTCATATATGCATGGCTATACATGTTTCTGTAAATTTTCAGAACATTTAGAGCATTTTTGATCATTTTAAAATTTTTGACATTTTTGCAGTTTCCATGGCAACAGTGGCCATTTTGGAAATACCAAAGTCAAAAGTCTCATCTAAACTTGCCAGTTAGGAATCATATAAAGTTTCATTAAGTTTGGAGCATTTTGAAATTTTTGAAATTTTTGACATTTTTGTTGGTTTCCGTGGTAACAGAGACCATTCCCAAAATTTAATGACAGGTGCTACATTGGTACATGGGAGGGAACATACCATTAAAATTTCAATGGATTTGACATACCATTTTAAGAAAGTAAATGCTACTTTAAGGTTTTTGGAGCATTTTGACCTTTATTTATTGTTTCCATGGTAACAGCAACCATTTTGGAAATTCCAATGCCAAATTCCACATCTACAAATGTTGCTCATCGTTACTGTGAAGTTTCATCAAATTTTGAGCATTTTGATATTTTTGAAATTTTTGGTGTAGTTTTCATGGCAACAAAGTAGTTCCAATGATTGTCAAAATCAGCCAAAACCTGCATATAGTGGACAACTACATTGCATTAAAATTTAACGTTTTTAAGTTTAAGCATTCTCAAATTATTGACCAAACTCAAAATTTTTATTTTTTCACCTTTTTTCAGTTTCCATGGTGATTGCAGCCATTTTTTTGTTCCAAAGTTGCACTGCAACTCGGTAGTCAGGGTTCCTTATTATAGTGAACCATCATTTAGATTGGTTCTTTTGGCTCTGAGAAAACTGGCAGACAAAATTAGGTGGAAAAAAAATAATAATAATAATAATAATAATAACAAGTAATCCTGTGTTAGGATGCTAACACAAAAGTCGCCAAAACGGCCCCCAACCATTGTTCTGCTGTTTCCATGGTAACGGCAGCCATTTTTAAATTTCAAAGTCGTATATCATATCTACACGTGACAGGTCACATTACTTACAAGTTTCATAAAAATTGGACCAATTTTCAAATTTAGGCATTCATGTTTCCATGGTTACGGTGGCCATTTTGGAAATTCCAAAGTCAAATGCCACATCTACATAAGACAGTCAACATTTGTGTAAAGTTTCATTAAGTTTGAAGCATTTTGAAATTTTTGACATTTTTGCAGTTTCCATGGTAATGGCAGCCATTTTGAAAATTCCAAAGTCGGATGGCACATCTACACATGACAGGTCACATTACTGTCAAGTTTTATAAAGATTGGTCCAAATCTAGATTTTTCGCATTTTTGTTGTTTCCATGGCAACGGCGGCCATTTTGGAAATTCCAAAGTCAAATTCCAAATCTACATACACTCGTTAACATCTCTGTAAAATTTCATTAAATTTGAAGCATTTAAAATAAATTTTCACATTTTTGCAGTTTCCATGGTAACGGGGGCCATTTTAAAAATTCCAAAGTCGAATTACAGCTACATATGGTGCTACCTGTAATAATCTATCATTATATAACATAAAAAGTACATAGGAATAATTCAACACTATCACATGACTATTGTTCTAGAATGCTCCATGAAAATTGACTCCCTAAAATAATGCCAAGATGACCCCGGGCTGAAATAAAAAATGTGGAATGGACACCTAGACATCGGTCTCTTGTATTACACAAAACTTAAAGGTTCTACCAGTAGCGAATCCATAGTTAAAAAATGACCCCACCCATGTTCCGGCCCCCAAATAGTGCCAAGATGACCCCCATTTGAAATAAAAAATAGCGAATGCACCTCTAGGGATACTACCCCAACATCATACCAAATATCAAGTTTCCATCATTTAAGGCTTGGAAGAAAATGGTCGGAAAATTAGGGTTAAGAATAATAATAATAATAATAATAATAATAATAATAATAAGAAACGGGACAAAAACATAAAGTCCCCAAAAATCCATTTTGGTGACTTAACTAGATTTACTATTGCAAGCAATAGCGGAGGATGTCACCCTGTACTGGTCATTGTCACAGTAGCAGCAACCATTTTGAGTGTACCAAAGTCAAATGGCACATCTATTATACATGCTGAAATTGGCATGTCTTTGACCCCCCCCCCCCCCCCCCCCCCCCCCCCCCCCCCCCCCCCCCCCCCCCTCTTTTTTTTCTCTTCCCGTAGAAAACGTTTGAGTTCTATACATAGTTTGGGAATTCTTTATAATCTAAAAATAGACCCACGAGCGAGGAAGAACGTGGCGTCACGTGATGCGCAAGTATATTATCGTGGACTTAGCACATTTATATTCTTTTTAGAGGGGACCTTGGACACACAAAATGTGTATATATTGACGGAGCGGCATACTAACTGTTCATTTTGTTCTTCAAAAGCTCGCGTATCACACGATACATGTATCTTATCTTGTACAATTAAATTACATGTTCATCGATTGATTTCAGCAAATGTGTATATTTTAGCAGGTGTGTGATTCACGGATGTGTACTTTAATGCAAGTACAGAAATGTCACTAATATGTACTCTTAGTGTTTCTCTCTCTCTCTCGGTGGCGATTTTCTCTTCAAAGCACGATTTTTGTATAGAATAGAAGCACGTTAAATTATATATTTTTTTCTTCTAGCATATTCTAGAAGATGTTTTGTAGTACAGATTTGTATTTGATCGTATGCACATACTCTTGATTACAGAATTTTGCCTCAAATTTACGAGGTGTTTTATGTTTTTTTTTTTTTTTTGCTGTTTCCATGGCAACGGCGGCCATTTTGAAAATTCCAAAGACAAATAGCAACTCTGCACATCTCAGTTGACATTTCTGTGAAGTTTTATCAAGTTTGGAGCATTTTGAAATTTTTGAACATTTTTGAATTTGTGCTGTTTCCATGGTAACAGTGACCGATTCTAAAATTTTAAAGACAGATGCCACTTTGGCAGATGACCAGGAATATACCATGAAAGAATCATGGAATTTGACCTACCATTATAAGTGAGTAAATGCTACTTTTAAGAATTTCCCATAAGGGCTAATGGTAAATGTTTCTCCAGTTTCCATGGTAATGGCAGCCATTTTGGAATTTCTAAATATGATCAACACATCTTGGCATGCCAGGCTACATTCCACTAAAGTTTCATCCAGGTGGGTCTCATAATGACAGATTTAATGGATTTGCAATTTTTATTTTTTTTTCACATATTTTCTGTTTCCATAGTAATGGCAGCCATTTTTTAGTTCCAAAGTTGCACTGCAACTCGAAAGTCAGGGTTCCTTGTTATAGTGCCCCATCATTTAGATTGGTTCCTCTGGCTCTGAGAAAACGGGCGGACAAATTTAGGTGGAAGAAAAATAATAATAACTAGATTTGCCATTGCAAGCAATAGCGGATGTCACCCTTCCCCCATTGCCACTAAGTGGCAGCCATTTCAAAAAAATTTAACAGTGAATGCACATATATGCATAGCTATACATCTTTCTGTAAATTTTCAGTACATTCAGAGCATTAAAAAAAATCACATTTTTGCATGGCAACGGCAGCCATTTTGAAAATTTCAAAGTCAAAAGTCTCATCTATACTTGCCAGTTAACAATAATATCAAGTTTTATTAAGTTTGAAGCATTTTGAAAATGTTTGACATTTTTGCAGTTTCCATGGCAACGGTGGCCATTTTGGAAATTCCAAAGTCAAAAGTCTCATCCAGACTTGCCATTCAACAATTATATGAAGTTTCATGAATTTTGGAGGATTTTGAAACTTTTAAAATTTTTGACATTTTTTATGGTTCCCATGGTAACAGAGACCATTCCCAAAATTTAATGACAGATGCCACATTGGAACACGTGAGGGAACATACCATCAAAGTTTAAATCGATTTGACCTACCATTTTAAGAAAGTAAATGCTACTTTTAGGTTTTTGGAGAATTTTGACCTGTTTTGCATTGTTTCCATGGTAACGGCAGACATTTTCAAAATTCCAATGCCAAATTCCACATCTACCAATGTTGCTCATCGTTACTGTGAAGTTTCATTAAATTTGGAGCATTTTGATATTTTTGAAATTTTTGGTGTAGTTTCCATGGCAACATAGTAGTTCCAATGATTGCCAAAATCAACCAAAACCAGTATATAGTGGGCACCTACATTGTATTAAAATCTAATGATTTTAAGTTTAAGCATTCTCAAATAATTCACCGAACTCCAAAATTATATTTTTTCACCATTTTTCAGTTTCCATGGTAACGGCAGCCATTTTTTAGTTCCAAAGTTGCACTGCAACTGGAAAGTCAGGGTTCCTTGTTATAGTGAACCATCATTCAGATTGGTAGCTTTGGCTCTGAGAAAGCGGGCGGACAAAATTAGGTGGAAGAAAAATAATAATAATTTAAAACCAATTGTTCAAAGAACAATTGAAGGTCTTTCCACATCAATTTTCTAAATAATTGATAAGAAGCTACTTCTGGTTTACTCAAAGTTACTATTGGCGTCCAATCATAGGTTTCTTCATACTGATTCAATAAATATATGGTTTCTGTATACTTTTGCCTGAAATAAGGGAGATAATTGCCAACATCCGGTTTAGAAAATGTCACTTCTGGTCTCATATAACAGCTTTATTTACACTGATTCCAGAAATATATGATTTATATATACTTTTGCCTGTAAAAAGGGAGATAATTGGCTACTTCCGGTTAAGAAAATGTCACTTCCGGTCTCATATCATAGCTTCATTCACACTGATTCCAAAAATATATAGTTTGTATATACTTATGCCTGTAAAAAGGGAGATAATATGCTACTTCCGGTTTATAAAATGTCACTTCCTGTCTCATATGATAGGTTAATGTATGCCCTTTCAAAAAATATATGGATTTCTAGTACTTTTCCATGAAAAAAGTGCAAAAATGGCTACTTCCGGTTTTCTCAAGGTCACTTCCGGTTGTCATTTTTCAAGGTCATATGTCACCCAACCTTTTGTAAAAGGTCATATGGCTTTATAATGAACCATGTTGAAGTAATAATCAATTAACCTCATAATTGGAAATTTCAGGGGCACTAACTCCTATTTGATGCCATTAGATTGTTTCAGACCAAATATAACATATCTTCATTACAATTAAGCAAACATTTTGCACTTGTTCATTTATAGATATATTTAAAAGTGTTGGAGAAAATGCAAAAACAAGGAAAACTCAAAATTGAGAACTTGACCTTGACCTTTGACCTTGACTTCATTTTCTAAGTTAGGACCTAGGGGTCTCAAATAAAAACATTCTAGGGTTATACGGTTAACGGTTTATGAGTTAAAAATACATACTAACAAATTTTATTGGTAAAGGTAGATAATTCCTATAAAATTTCATCGAATCGCTTCGATCCAAATTAGCCAAAACTTCCTGAGGATCCAACGAACAATTTAGAAAAAGAATTTTGTCGATATCTTTTTTTGTTACAAAGGAGATGCACACACTTGATAAACAGTGAATAGGGAGATAACTCTTACAAAGAAAATTGTTCGGCTAAGCAGGGTGAAATTTAAAAGCGAATAAACTATACGATACAATATGAGAAATATCTAAGCGACATATTGCGAAACAAATATTTAGGCGGAAAAAAAAAATAATAAATATAAATCAATTGTTTTAAAAACAATTGTTAAACGGTCTTTCCCCTCTGAAATATGATTAATTGGTTTTTAGGTTTTTTGGTTGGTTGGTTGGTTGGTCGGTCGGTCGGTCGGTCGGTCGGTCGGTCGGTCGGTCGGTCGGTCAGTCGGTCGATTAATTGATTGATTGATTGATTGATTGATTGCATGCATGGCACTTTTTCTTTATTTGGATATGCAATGTTTTATTCTAAATTTAGGTCCGCGCGCGAGATGGTGTTGTGAAGTCACGTGACCCTCGAATATATATGTCTGGAGTTAGAATATTAATTTCTTTTCAGGGGAGACCGTTGAACAGAGCACATGTGTATTGATCAAAGAATCACGATAACTATTGTTTTTATTATTTACAGATCATTGATGACGGATCATGCATGCATCTTACGTACACATGTTTACGGGAGCACAGATTTGTATTTCAATGCATGATTAAAAAATTTGATTGTAGGATTTCAGCAATATTACGATTTTTCTACGTCATTGAATTTTATTTCTCAATCAAGCGGACCGCGTCTAGCGGGAGTATGAATTGGAGCCGATTTTTACAGGAATTATTTTTCTATTTAAGAAGTTTGTACAACAGAAGGATTGCATTTTTACAGTCAAACTGGACTGAACATCAAGGCGAAATTGGATACATCATGATAGCTGCAAAGTTTGAGGCTATAATTAGTTCATTTTGTTCATTTTACTATTTCAGTGGCATGGAACCCCTAAAACAATGACGCGTACCATTTTGACAAAAACTTTCCAGTTATATCATGTCGCGACTAACATTTTGGTCAAATTTTTTTTATACGGCTTACGGTTTACGTGTTACAAAAACATAACGACAAATTAATTTGGTAAAGGCAGATAACTCCTTTAAGATCTCACTGGATCGCTTCGATCCAAATTAGGCAAAAATTCCTGAGGATGTAACAAACAATTTAGAAAAAGAATTTTGTCGATATCTTTTTTGTTACGAAGGAGATGCACACAGATGATAAACAGTGAATAGGGAGATAACTCTTGCAAAGAAAATGGTTCCGCTTAGCAGGGTGAAATTTAAAAGCGCATAAACTATACGATACAATATGAGAAATATCTAAGCGACATATTGCGAAACAAACATTTATCGCAAGAACAAAATTTGGCGGGAAAAAAAAAAAAAAATAATAATCAGAACAAATACAATAGGTCTTTCCACAGAAAAGTGGAAAGACCTAATAACTGGATTTGCCATTGCAAGCAATAGCAGATGTCACCCTTCCCCCATTGCCACTAGATTGCAGCCAGTTTTAAAATTTTAAACAGTGAATGCACATATATAATGATGGCTATACATCTTTCTGTCATTTTTTAGAACATTTAGCGGATTTACAAATTAAACGCATAATTTTTCCTTTTTGCCTTGTTTCCATGGTAACTGCAGCTATTTTGGAAATTCCAACGCCAATTGCCACTTCCACACATGACAGTCAACACTATTGTGAAGTTTCATTAAGTTTGAAGCATTCTGAAATTTTTGAAATTTTTGCTTCTGTATCCATGGTAACATAACAGTTCCAATGATTGTCAAAATCATTCAAAACCTGTATATAATGGACAACTATGTTGTATAAAATTTTGATGATTTTAAGTTAAAGCATACCAAAATTCTTCAACAAACCCTGAAGTTTTTGGAGCATTTTGACCTTTTTGCATTGTGTCCATGGTAACAGCAGCCATTTTGGAAATTCTAACTCCAAATGCTACATCTTCCAATGTTGCTCATCGTTACTGAGAAGTTTCATAAAGTTTGGAGCATTTTGATTTTTTTGAAATTTTTCATGTAGTTTCCATGGCAACATAGTAGTTCCAATGGTTGCCAAAATCATCCAACACCAGTATATAGTGGGCACCTACATTGTATTAAAATATAATGATTCTAAGTTTAAGCATATCCAAATAGTTCAACAAAACCAATAAAATGCTCCGCAGGGCGCAGCTTGATACGACCGCAGAAGTCGAACCCTGAACAGTTGGGGCAAGTATGGACACAACATTCAAGCTTGATACAGCTCTGAATTTGGATTGTGATTAAATATTTGACACAGCATAGGTTTCTGACACAGAATGAATGTGGTCTAAGAATTTAAAAATTTTAAATTGGACATTCACCTATTATGGTCCAATATCCAAAATCTAAATACATGGTTAGATTCAGCATATCAAAGAACCCCATATATTCAATTTTTGTTGAAATCAAACAAATTTTAATTTTGGACCCCGATTTGGACCAACTTGAAAACTGGGCCCATAATCAAAAATCTAAATACATGTTTAGATTCAGCATATCAAAGAACACTAAAAATTCAATTTTTGTTAAAATCAAACTAAGTTTAATTTTGGACCCTTTGGACCTTAATGTAGACCAATTTGAAAACGGAACCAAAAATTAAGAATCTAAATAAACGGTTAGATTCCGCATATCAAAGAACCCCAATAATTCAATTTTTGATGAAATCAAACAAAGTTAAATTTTGGACCCTTTGGACCTCAATGTGGACCAATTTAAAAACGGGGCCCAAAATCCAAAAACTAAATACACGGTTAGATTCAGCATATTAAAGAACCCCAAGAATTCAAGAATAAAACCCCATTGAAATTGATCAAGAAATAAGCAATTTATAAGAAGTATCTTCTTTTGCACAATACTGTGCAATTGAATATTTCTTGCTATTGCGCAATACTGTACAATTGACAATTTCTTGCTATTGCGCAATATTGTGCTATTGGATATTTCTTGCTATTGCGTAATACTGTGCAATTGAAGATTTCTTGCTATTGCGCAATACTGTGCAATTGAAGATTTCTTGCTATTGTGCAATACTGTGCAATTGAAAATTTCTAGCTATTGCACAATACTTATTATATAAAAATCTACACATCCTGTTTGGTGTGTATCTCCTACCATGTCATAATTATTTGCTTTTAAATATAAATCAGAAATAACCAACTTAAAATGGAAAATTTTAAAAGAAAAAAAAAAGGAAAAAAAGAAAAAAAAAGAAAAAAAAAAAAATCCCCCCCCCCCCAAATTTTTTGAACCCCCTTATGATTCATCACCCCCAAACTCAATCCCAGCCTTCCCTTTGTGGTATGGTACCTTGCAGTACAATTTCAGAGAGATCCATACACTTGAACACAAGTTATTGTCTTGAAACTAGAAAAATGCTTATTTTTTGCCCCTTTTTGGCCCCCAATTCCTAAACGTTTCAGGCAATTACCCCCGAACTCAATTCCAGCTTTCCCTTTGTGATATGAAACCTTGTAGTACAATTTCAGAAATATCCAAACACTTACACACAAATTATTGTCATGAAACTAGAAACATGCTTGTTTTTTGCCCCTTTTTTGGACCCTAATTCCTTAAATTTTGAGGCAATTACCCCCAAAATCAATTACAGCCTTCCCTTTGTGATATGGAACCTTGTGGTACAATGTCAGAGAGATCCATACACTTACACACAAGTTATTGTCTGAAAGTTACAAAAATGCTTATTTTTGGTACCTTTTTGGCCCCTAATTCCTTAACTGTTGGTACCATAACCCCCAAAATCAATCCCAACCTTCCTTTCGTGGTATTGAACCTTATGGTAAAATTTCATGGAGATCCATTCACTTAAACTAAAGTTAGAGTGCCAGACTACGACGACGACGACGACAACGACGACGCCAACGTCATACCAATATACGACCAAAAATTTTTTAATTTTTGCCGTCTTATAACCAAAAAATTTTTAATTTTTGCGGTCGTATAAAAACTGGATTTTTTCACATTTGTTCCGTTTCCATGGTAATGGCAGCCATTTTTTATGTTCTTAAGACCTACTGCAACCCGAAATTTTGTGTTCCTCATTATAGTGAACTATCATAAAGATTGGTTCCATTGGCTCCAAAAAAACTGCCGGACAAAAATCATTGGAAGAATAATAATAATAACAAAGAAACAGAGGAAAAGCAATATGTCACCCGACATTGTCGATTGGGTGACATAATAATAATAATAGGGAAAAAGAAACAGAGGAAAAGCAATATGTCACCCGACATTGTCGATCGGGTGACATAATTATTATAATAATAGGGAAAAAGAAACAGTGGAAAAGCAATATGTCACCCGACATTGTCGATCGGGTGACATAATAATAAGAAAAAAAAGAAACGTAGAATAACAATACCTCACCCCAACTCACTTGAAGGTGCCATAACTAGATTTGCCATTGCAAGCAATAGCGGATGGCACCTTTCCCCCATTGCCAGGTGAGCGGCAGCTATTTAGCAAATTCAAAAGTCAAAGAGTGCATCTACACTTGCAAATTATCATTTTTGTAAAGTTTCATCAAGTTTAGAGCATTTTGAAATTTTGAACTTTTTTGCTGTTTCCATGGTTACGGCAGCCATTTTGAAAATTCCAACTTCAAAATGCAACTCTGCTCATGCCAGTTACCATTTCTGTAAAGTTTCATCCAGTTTGCAGCATTTTGATTTTTTTTGAAATTTTGAACATTTTTGCTGTTTCCATGGTAAGTGGTTACAGTGGATAATTCCAAAATTCTAAAAGCAGTCATCTCATTGCCACATGTCATGTTATATATCAATACAGTTTCACTGACTTTGGTCAAATACTCTTTAAGAAAATGCTGATTTTATGCATTTTCCTAAAGGGTCAATGTAAAACTTGCCCCCAGTTTCCATGACAACGGCACCCATTTTGGACTATCCAAATATTGTCTTGACATCTTAGCATACTGGGTAACATTTTCATAAAGTTTCATCCAGTTGGGTCTTATAACGAAAGAGTTAGAATTTTTTATATTTAGCTGTTTCCATGGTAACGGCAGCCATTTTGAAATTCCGAAGTCAAACTGCAAATCAGCACATGTCAGTTACCATTCCTATGTTTGTTCCAGTTTGGAACACTTTGATTTTTTTTTGCATTTTTACTGTTTCCATGGAAACGGCGGCCATTTTTTACAATTCCATAGCAAGGTGCACAACTTTACATGGGGGTCCTCATTATAGTAGAGTTCCATCAACATTGGTCCATTGGATTCCAAGAACTCGCACGGACAAAATGAATGGAAGAAAAATAAGAAAAAAAATAAATCTAGAATAACAATACGTCACCCCAACTCCGTTGAGGGTGCCATAATAAAACAAGAGGCTCTCAAGAGCCTGAATCGCTCACCTGTTTTTTTTTTGCTTAAATCTTTCATCAATGATTATTTTTGCTTTTACCCATATGTTCCATTTTAGCCATAGTGTCTCTGTTTCTTGACATACAAGGAAATGAAGTACAAAATTTATACTAGATTCATTTGAGAAGATTTTTAAAGTTAAAAAACATAAAACAACTTGTGTAAAATTGTACTTAAAGGGCAATAACTCCTTAAGGGGTCAATTGACAATTTTGGTCATATAAACTTTTTTGTAGATCTTACTTTGCTGAACATTTTTGCTGTTTACAGTTTATCTTTATCTTCAATAATATTCAAGATAATAACCAATAAAATGCTCCGCTGGGGCGCAGCTTGATACGACCGCAGATGTCGAACCCTGAACAGTTGGGGCAAGTATGGACACAACATTCAAGCTTGATACAGCACTGAATTTGGATTGTAATTAAATATTTGACACAGCATAGGTTTCTGACACAGAATGAAAGTGGTCTAAGAACTTAAAAATTTTTAATTTACCTATTCAAACCATATCCATACATGTGATGGACTGTGAAACTCAGATCAGGGGATTGGGAAATTTTGGTCAGGAGATTAGGACTCAGATCAGGAGGTTTTTAGTCGACATAAATTTTGACGTAAATGTAACCGTGTGCTGTAAAAATTGTCTTTTAAAGTGTGTATTCTTCAACTTTCCATCCGAATGTATTATGTTTATAGTACCCTTGTACTTATAAAGTTTCTCTATCTTTTTTAAATTTTTTAATTCATGTCTTTTATATCATTATTCTATAGAACAATCATTGCATTCAGAACATTTGTTTAACTATCAGCAATTGCAATTAGTTTACATTTGCATATTAAGAAACATATATATATGATCTAGAATCAAGGGTCATAGTTATTATATAAATTTCAATTTAAGTCTTGAAAGGAAGTATAGAACCCTCAAATAATTTTCAAATTATTATTTTTTTATTTGTCCTAAGACGTTTAAAATAATTTAATTACCATCCTTTTATGATTATTTGTTCAATTTATATTTTATTTATATTCTTTTAAAAATTTACATTATTGAAAGGAAAGAAACTTAAAACAGGATGAATCAAGGGAAGTAACCCAATAAATACACAAAGTTTTTATTACACAACGGCAGTTAGCCTGAGGTAAAAAATGTTGATTAACAGTAAGTTTGACACCCAAGCTGACAAATGAAGCCATATAATTATGCATGCTAATTGATTTACATGTAAAATATAACTTCAGGTAATGTCAGTTACACCAGATGTCTGAGATGATATGTTGGGGAAAAAATTTCATACACTGGATTTTTTTCTCTTCAACGGGAGGTCGGGAGGAGACCCCTGAAAACGGGATTATTGTACTCCCGTTGGGAGGTTCACATGTATGCATATCATTATTATTTGCTTTTATATATAAATCAGAAATAACCAATTTAAAATGGAAAATTTTAAAGAAAAAAAAAGGGAAAAAAAATCCCCCCCACCAATTTTTGGAACCCCCTTATGATTCATCACCCCCAAACTCAATCATAGCCTTCCCTTTGTGGTATGGTACCTTGCAGTACAATTTCAGAGAGATCCATACACTTGAACACAAGTTATTGTCTGGAAACTAGAAAAATGCTTGTTTTTTTGCCCCTTTTTGGCCCCAAATTCCTAAACGTTTAGGGCAATTACCCCCAAACTCAATCCCAGCTTTCCCTTTGTGATATGGAACCTTGCAGTACAATTTCATAAAGATCCATACACTTACACACAAGTTATTGTCCTGAAACTAGAAAAAATGCTTGTAAATTTTTTTGCCCTTTTATGGCCCCTTATTCCTAACATTTTGAGGGAATTACCCCCAAAATCAATCCCAGCCTTCCCTTTGTGGTATGGTACCTTGCAGTACAATTTCAGAGAGATCCATACACTTGAACACAAGTTATTGTCTGGAAACTAGAAAAATGCTTATTTTTGGCCCCTTTTTGGCCCCTTTTCCTAAACTTTGGAGGCAATTACCCCCAAACTCAATTCCAGCTTTCCCTTTGTGATATGGAACCTTGTAGTACAATTTCATAAAGATCCATACACTTACACACAAGTTATTGTGTGGAAACTAGAAAAATGCTTGTTTTTTGCCCCTTTTTGGCCCCTAATTCCTAAAATTTGGAGGCAATTACCCCCAAAATCAATCCCAGCATTCCCTTTGTGATATGGAACCTTGTGGTACAATGTCAGAGAGATCCATAGACTTACACACAAGTTATTGTCATGAAACTAGAAAAATGCTTGTTTTTTGCCCCTTTTTGGCCCCTAATTCCTAAAATTTGGAGGCAATTACACCCAAAATCAATCCCAGCATTCCCTTTGTGATATGGAACCTTGTGGTACAATGTCAGAGAGATCCATACACTTACACACAAGTTATGTCTGGAAGTTACAAAAATGCTTATTTTTGGCCCCTTTTTGGCCCCTAATTCCTTAAATGTTGGTACCATAACCCCCAAAATCAATCCCCACCTTCCTTTTGTGATATTGAACCTTATGGTAAAATTTCATTGAGATCCATTCACTCAAACTAAAGTTAGAGTGCGAAAACTAATGTGTATTCGGACGACGACGCCGGATGACGACGACGACGACGACGACGACGACGCCAACGTCATACCAATATACGACCACAAAAATTTTTTTGCGGTCGTATAAAAACTGCAAAATGTCCTTAAAACAACCAATTTAGTGGCAGCAACCCAACAATTTCAGGGCTGATAGATCTTGACCAATTGAACAATTTTACCCCATGTCAGAATTGCTCTAAATGCTTTAGTTTCTGAGATATAAGCCAAAAACTGCATTTCACCCCTATGTTCTATTTTTAGCCATGGCAGCCATGTTTGTTGATGGATCAAAATTTCGGATACAATTTATAAACAAGATACCCTAAGGAACATTTAATTAAAGTTTGAAGGTATTTGGCCCAGTAGTTTCAGAGAAGATTTTTTAATTAGTTTACGACGACAGACGACGACGACGGACGACAGGCGACGGACGATGACGGACGCCAAGTGATGGCATAAGCTCACATGGGGCCCTTAAAGCCCCGGTGAGCTAAAAAAGAAACGGAGGAAAAGCAATATGTCACCCAACATTGTCGTACAAGTGACATAATAATAAAGAAACGGAGGAAAAGCAATATGTCACCCGACATTGTCGTATGGGTGACATAATAAGAAAAAAAAGGAAACGTAGAATAACAATATGTCACCCCAACTTCGTTGAGGGTGCCATAATAATAATAATAATAATAATAAGAAACAGGACAAAAACATAAAGTCCCCAAAACTCTGTTTTGGCGACTTAATAATAATAATAATAAGAAAGGGGACAAAAACATAAAGTCCCCAAAACTCCGTTTTGGCAACTTAATAAGAAAAAAAGAAACGTAGAATAACAATATGTCACCCCACCTCCGTTGAGGGTGCCATAATAAAGAAACAGAGGAAAAGCAATATGTCACCCGACATTGTCGATCGGGTGACATAATAATAATAATAATAAGAAGAAGAAACGGGACAAAAACATAAAGTCCCCAAAACTCTGTTTTGGCCACTTAATAATAAGAACTGAGCAAAAACAATGTCTTCCCAAACTTCAAACTTCGTTTGGGAGACTTAAATATAAACCCCCCCAAACAAATTGGAAAAATAAATCCCGCCCAATTTTTGGACCCCCCCCCCCCCCCCTTTGGAGTAATTACCCCCAAACTCAATCCCAGCCTTCCTTTTGTGGTATGGAACCTTGTAGTACAATTTTGGAGAGATCCATACACTTAACCACAAGTTATTGTCTGTTAAATAGAAAAATTCTTGTTTTTGGCCCCTTTTTTATCCCTAATACCTGAAAGTTTGGGGCAATTACCCCCAAACTCAATCCCAGACTTCCCTTTGTGATATGGATACTTGTGGTACAATTTCAGAGATATCCATACACTTACACACAAGTTATTGTCTGGAAACTACAAAAATGCTGTTTTTGGCACCTTTTTGGCCCCTAATTCATAAACTATTGGCACAATAACCCCCAAAATCGATCCCAACTTTTCTTTTGTGGTATTGAACCTTCTGGTAAAATTTCATAGAGTTCCGTTCACTTAACTAAAGTTATTGTCCGGAAACCAAATGTGTCTTTGGACGACGACGACATGATAGCATTATACGAATTTTTGCGGTCATATAACTAGAGGCTCTCAAGAGCCTGTGTCGCTCACCTGTATTTACTGATGCTTTGGAAATCATGTAAAATAAGGTTAAAATAATAATTAATAGTATTAGATATTAGATATTATAATGATATCTAAGATAATAACAAATAAAATGCTCCGCTGGGGCGCAGCTTGATACGACCGCAGAGGTCGAACCCTGAACAGTTGGGGCAAGTATGGACACAACATTCAAGCTTGATACAGCACTGAATTTGGATTGTAATTAAATATTTGACACAGCATAGGTTTCTGACACAGAATGAAAGTGGTCTAAGAACTTAAAAATTTTCAATTTACCTATTCATACATGTGATGGACTGTGAAACTCAGATCAGGAGATTGGGAAATTTTGGTCAGGAGATTAGGACTCAGATCAGGAGGTTTTTAATCGACATTAATTTTGTTGTAAATGTAACCGTGTGCTGTAAAAATGGTCTTTTAAAGTGTGTTTTCTTTAACTTTCCAACCAATTTATTATGTTTATAGTACCCTTGTACTTATAAAGTTTCTCCATCTTTATATTCTACATGTTCAATCTAACATTGTTTTTTTCCAATATGTTCTTTAAATTTTTTACTTCATATTCTATAAAACAATCATTGCAACCAGAACATTTGTTTAGCTGTCCGCAAATAGTTTTTATTTTTTTATTTTTTCTCTTGCAAATAGTTTTTATTTGCAAACTCAGAAATTCATTCTATCTGTCAAGTTAGGGTCATAGTTATTATATAAATTTCAATTTAAGCCTTAAAAGGAAGTATAGAATCCTCAAATAATTTTCAAATTATTATTTTTTTATTTGTCCTAAGACATTTAAAATCATTTAATAACCATCCTTTTATGATTATTTGTTCAATTTATATTTTATTTATATTCTTTTAAAAATTTTCATTATTAAAAGGAAAGTAACTTAAAACAGGATAAATCAAGGGAAGTAACCCAATAAATACACAGTTTTTGTTACACAACGGCAGTTAGCCTGAGGTAAAAATCGTTGTTTACCAGTATGTTTGACACCCAAGCTGACAAGTGAAGCCATATAATTATGCATGTAAATTGATTTACAGGTAAGATATAACTTCAGGTAATGTCAGTTACACCAGATGCCTGAGATGTTATGTTGGGCAGAAATTTTTCATTCATGAAAAATTTCATACACGGGATTTTTTCAACGGGAGGTCGGGAGGAGACCCCTGAAAACGGGATTATTGTACTCCCGTCGGGAGGTTCACATGTATGCCTATTCAAACCATATCATTATTATTTGCTTTTATATATAAATCAGAAATAACCAATTTAAAATGGAAAATGTTAAAGAAAAAAAAGGAACAAAAAAATTCCCCCCCCCCCCCCCCCAATTTTTTGAACCCCCTTATGATTCATCGCCCCCAAACTCAATCCCAGCTTTCCCTTTGTGGTATGGTACCTTGCAGTACAATTTCAGAGAGATTCATACACTTGAACACAAGTTATTGTCTGGAAACTAGAAAAATGCTTGTTTTTTGGCCCCTTTTTGGCCCCAAATTCCTAAACGTTTAGGGCAATTACCCCCAAACTCAATTCCAGCTTTCCCTTTGTGATATGGAACCTTGCAGTACAATTTCATAAAGATCCATACACTTACACACAAGTTATTGTCCTGAAACTAGAAAAATGCATGTTTTTTTTGCCCTTTTATGGCCCCTAATTACTAAAATTTTGAGGGAAAACCCCCAAAATCAATCCCAGCCTTCCCTTTGTGATATGGAACCTTGTAGTACAATTTCATAAAGATCCATACACTTACAAACAAGTTATTGTCATGAAACTAGAAAAATGCTTGTTTTTTGCCCCTTTTTGGCCCCTAATTCCTAATATTTGGAGGAAATTACCCCAAAAATCAATCCCAGTATTCCCTTTGTGATATGGAACCTTGTAGTACAATTTCATAAAGATCCATACACTTACAAACAAGTTATTGTCATGAAACTAGAAAAATGCTTGTTTTTTGCCCCTTTTTGGCCCCTAATTCCTAAAATTTGGAGACAATTACCCCCAAAATCAATCCCAGCATTCCCTTTGTGATATGGAACCTTGTGGTACAATGTCAGAGAGATCCATACACTTACACACAAGTTATGTCTGGAAGTTACAAAAATGCTTATTTTTGGCCCCTTTTGGCCCCTAATTCCTTAACTGTTAGTACCATAACCCCCAAAATCAATCCCCACCTTCCTTTTGTGGTATTGAACCTTATGGTAAAATTTCAATGAGATCCATTTACTTAAACTAAAGTTAGAGTGCGAAAACTAATGTGTATTCGGACGACGACGCCGGACGACGACGACGACGACGACGCCGGACGACGACGACGACGACGACGACGCCAACGTCATACCAATATACGACCACAAAAATTTTTTTGCGGTCGTATAAAAACTGCAAAATTTTGGTAAAATTCCTAACTCAGGGGCAGCAACCCAACAACGGGTCGTCGGATTTGTCTGAAAATTTCAGGGCAGATAAATCTAAATCTGATGAACATTTTTGGCACCTGTCAGATTTGCTCTAAATGCTTTAGTTTCAGAGATATAAACCAAAAACTGCATTTTACCTCTATGTTCTATTTTTACCCATGGCGGCCATCTTGGTTCGTTGGCGGGGTCATCGGACAAATTTTTAAAACTAGATACCCTAATAATGATTATGGCCAAGTATGGTTAAATTTGTATCAGTAGTTTCAGAGAAGAAGATTTTTGTAAAAGATAACAAAAATTTACGAAAAATTGTTAAAAATTGATTATTAAGGGCAATAACTCCTAAAGGGGTCGACTGACAATTTTGGTCATGACAACTTATTTGTAGATCTTACTTTGCTGAACATTATTGCTGTTAACAGTTTATCTCTATCTATAATAATATTCAAGATAATAACCAAAAACTGCAAAATTTCCTTAAAATTACCAATTCAGGGGCAGCAACCCAAAAACAGGTTGTCAGATTTGTCTGAAAATTTCAGGGCAGATAGATCTTGACCTGATAATCAGTTTTACCCTATGTCAGATTTCCTCTAAATGCTTTAGTTTCAGAGATATAAGCCAAAATCTACATTTTACCCCTATGTTCTAATTTTAGACATGGTGGCCATCTTGGTTGGTTGGCGGGGTCATCGGACCCATTTTTTAAACTAGATACCCTAATGATGATTGTGGCCAAGTTTAGTTAAATTTGGCCCAGTGGTTTCAGAGGAGAAGATTTTTGTAAAAAGCAAACGACGATGGACGACGACGACGGACGACGGACGCCAAGTGATGAGAAAAGCTCACTTGACCCTTCGGGTCAGGTGAGCTAAAAAGGGATGTAAATCATATAATGACCATTTAAACAGATGGAATGAAAGAGCAATTAAATGGTTTTGTGATAACAAAAAAAGGATAAATTATTAAAAAATGGAGATTTCCTCTGCTTCAGGTACAATTAAATCTTATATATATCTAAAATTTCATTCATTTTAAAAAGCACAAAATGTTATGTAAATCAGCTTCTCTAAAACTGTATAATTTTAAATAAGGACAAAACTTCATCATAAAAATTTTAATTTACAATCGTTTCAACATCAGATGCTTGCTTTTTTTTAATTGGTGAATGCATTGATTTTTTTCTAAAAAAACTTTCTTTGATTTTTTTATCATCAGTCATTGTTTCTTGAAACATTGAGTTTGAGGTCTGGTATAAGAACTGGATTAAATATCACATGTACTTTACCTATACCTTTGCTCCCTTTTCAATTCTATTTTTTTCAGGGGTCTATATATGTACCATCATTACAATTTTGCAACCTCAACTTAAAATGCTTCAGTAGTTCTATTCTCCTGATTTCATTTATAATACCCGGTGATTAGACAAACAACAGTACTCATGATTTTTTCTTTTGCTCTTTTCCCTTGGACATTGCCTTAGGGGGGGTTGTACACATCGTTAGTGCAATTTTTAAGAGTTCACTCACACAATTAATCTACAATGAAAAGTCATTCATGTGTAGCATTTATAGTGCATGGAAAGCCATGTACTATGAAAAATAGAAGGGAAAATACTGAATTTCCATTGAACGAGAATGGATGAGTATGTTCTAATCACAGGCGTTTGCTGAAAGGAGCTAATAAAACAATTTTATCAACTAATTATTATGTAAAATCTACTCACGAGTTTGTAAATGCTGCAATGGTTTAAATATCAATCAAATTTAAACATTGTTGATTTTAAAATGTCCTTAGCTATAGAATGAAAAAGATGGTAGCTGCTGATGTTGCTGTGTATATATTGAGATAAAGAGATATCTACTTCCTTACATGTTTAGAGAACAAAATAAATTGAACTAAATCAGAAATAGATAAATAGAGAGATTCCAAAACTTTTTTTTTATATCACAGTAAAACTAAAACTATGCTAATAAAAGAACAGAGTTCCAATGTCCCCCTTGTTGCACATATTTTACCTGTTCAAGGGCAATAACTAAAAAAAAAAATTTATTTTGTTTTTCAAAACTTTTTTAAAATTATCTTAGAGAGTTGAAGAATTGAGATTCATATAATATTTCCAAGGGGCATAACTCATTAAAAATATTTTATTGGCTATTATTTTCAAAATTTGTTCATGATACTGCTGATATTAACCTTTGATATGAATTTGATAGAAATCTGGCAAAAATTGTACATGTGAGAGCGCTTACAATGCAAATTTCCATATAATTAATATTAATAATAAGTGCATAACTGTTTTAAAAATAATTGATCAGCACTGATTTTCAAACTCTTACGAGACATTGTTGATATAAACCTATAATAAAGTTTCAAAAAAAATCTGGCAAGAATTGTACACATGAGAGCGCTAACAATACAATCTTCCATATAATTAATTTTTCCAAGGGGCATAACTCTTTTTAAAATAGTTGATTGGCACTGATTTTCGAACTCGACCAACACATTGACATTGCTGATATAAACCTACAATATACATTTCAAAAAAAAATCTGGCACGAATTGTACACATGAGAGCCCTAACAATGCAATTTTCCATAAAATTAATATTTCCAAGGGGCATAACTCTTTTAAAAATAGTTAATCAGCACTGATTTTCGAACTCGTTCGATACATTGCTGATATAAACTTCATAAAAATCTGGTAAGAATTGCACACATGAGAGCGCTAAAGATGCAATTTTCCATATAACTAATGTTTCAAAGGGGCATAACTCTTTTAAAAAATAGTTCATCGGCACTGATTTTCAAACTCATCCAAGACATTGCTGATATAAATCTATGATATAAGTTTTATAAAAATCTGACAAGAATTGTACATGTGAGAGTGCTAACAAGACCGGACAGACGGACGCACGGATGGACAGACAGACGGAAAGACACCCGGTATTTCTATGTCCCAGTAAAGCGTTGCACGTGGACAATAAAGTTATCAAAATATAGATAATTGTAGCTCATAGTCTAGTGGCATGGGAATTCAAAACTCAACAATCAATATATTTATTATAAAAATACATGTCTGGAAAACTTTTTTTATTTCACAGTAAAACAAAAACTATTTTTATTTATTAAAATATCAATATAGTTGTACATTTTCTTTCAGACATTATCACAGTGCTTCAATTTATGATGAAAGGGATCAAGTTCCTATAAAAGTTTTAAATCAAATTGATTGTCATCATAATCTTTTTACATGATTTTTTAATGATTTTTTTCTCAAGTATATTAAATTATAAAACTTCTCGTCAATTAAAATTGATTAAACTTCCCTCCACAAAGTTCATGGTACATCCTGTTTCTGTAACTTCATGGATGCCCAATAATAAGATAGCATTGTTAACAGCAATAATTTTCTGTCTTATTTATCTTCATAATCTTGTTTTTTTAATTATTTTTTATAACCAATAACTATTTTTAAATAATTGTCAAAACTATTACATTAATCTAATTTAGGACACAAATTTCAATTCCAAAAAATTTGTAAGGGTTCCGCGGAACCCAGTGTCTCACCTACTTTTGCTGTTAATCGCAGGCTCAACAAAAATGAGGAAAAAAAATAATAACAATATTCCTTTCAATACAATCTTTTGATTGTATGAAGCTTAATTCTGTCCAAGTTTGGTAAAAATCCAGGATAGTTTATGAATCTAATAAATGTTTTAAATCTTTAACTGCAGACTGTATGTAGTGTTAACTGGAAGAAAAACTAAGTCCATTTATAAGTAAAATACGGATAAACAGGTACAAAATTTTAACAAAATTTCCTGCTAGATACTAGCTTTTACACAAGCTTCTGACCAAGTTTGGTACAAATCCAGGATAGTTTAAGAAAGTTATTAAAATTTTAAAAACTTTAACCACAGAGTGAATGTAATGTTTCCTGGCAGAAAACTAAGTCCATTTATAAGTAAAATACGGATAAACAGGTACAAAATTTTAACAAAATTTCCTTCTAGATACTAGCTTTTACACAAGCTTCTGACCAAGTTTGGTACAAATCCAGGATAGTTTAAGAAAGTTATTAAAATTTTAAAAACTTTAACCACAGAGTGAATGTAATGTTTCCTGGCAGAAAACTAAGTCCATTTATAAGTAAAATACGGAAAAACAGGATATTTTTTTTACAAAACTTACTTCTGGAATCCCAGAGGAGGCCCAATGAAGGATATTGTTTTAAACCGTGTAAAATCTACTGAACAGTAACAACATTTTTCTTTGTACAATTTCCCAACCTGATTTAGAAAATAAGAAGAATAAATAAAAACATACTCAGTTGATAAATAATTTAAACTAATTTTCAGTTCACCAGCTTTGAGGTATGATAAGTACAAAATTAAATGTTTTTGCGTAGCCAGATCAGTTGATTCCCACGGCGGGACTTAACTTTACGTCGGACATCACCTCTTTCTCTATAATATCGGAAATTGTCTGAATAAATTCGGAGCAGGCATTGTTCTCTTGATGTAATTTAGAAGTGATCACGGCACCATTTAACTTAGTTAAAAATCATTTATTGACTGAAATTTGTCCATTAGTAAATTTTATTCAGCAATAAAGTAAGCATTACGGAACAAGGTGCACATTGCATTGTCAGTCTTTCTCAAATACTGATACAATTGGATTACTTTTGGAAGCTGTCTCTAATTTAAGAGCTTGAACGTGGTCATTGCTATTAGCATGCTCTACAACGGCTGACTTTCGAAAAGTTATTTTTAAGTTTATGTTTTTGACAAATGTCACAAAACATGGCATTTAGCATACTGTCAAATCTTAACCATAAAAACAGTTGTAACCATTTATGAATATAGCTTCTAGCATTTTTAGCAGATTTCGAATTTTGATCGGAATCGTCACGTTTACGTTTGCCCATGATGGCAGATTTGTAAAGTTCAATTTGAGACAAAGTCTTTATAACAGTCGGAGATTGTCATGATTGGATATTCTTCTTTATGATTTCAATTATAAAAACAGTTATTAATATGAAAACAAGAATAGAGAACGCCCCCCTTATTTATTGGACAACTCAGCTATTCTCGGTGTTTTTCCTATATATTTCAATAAATTTTCCCCTTTAGAGTACCCCAGTATT